CCAAAGTATTGGAGTTTCAGCTTCAGCATGAGTCCTTCCAAGGAATATTCAGGCCTGATTTCCTTTAGGATGGACTGGTTGGCTCTCCTTGCAGTCCAAGGGACTCTCAAGAGTCTTCTCCAACACCACAGTTCAAAAGCATCAATTCATCGGCACTCAGCTTTCTTTATAGGCCAACTCTCACATCCATACATGACAACTGGAAAAACCATAGCTTTGACTAGATGGACCTCTTTTGGCAAAGTAATGTCTCTGCTTTTTAATATGCTGTCTAGGTTGGCCATAACTGTTCTTCCAAGGAGCAAGCATCTTTTAATTTCATTGCTGCAGACACCATCCGCAGTGATTTTGGAGACCCCAAAATAAAGTCTTTCACTCTTTCCATTGTTTCCCCATCTTTTTGCCATGAAGTGATGGGCCTAGATGCCATGATCTTAGCTTTTGGAATGTTGAGTTTTAAGCCAACTTCTTCACTCTCTTCTTTCACTTTCATCAAGAGGCTGTTTAGTTCTTCACTTTCTGCCATAAGGCTGGTGTTATCTGCATATCTGAGGTCACTGATATTTCTCCTGGCAATCCTAATCCCAGCTTATGCTTCATCCAGCCCAGCATTTCTCATGATGTACTCTGCATATAAGTTAAATTAGCAGGGTGACAATATACAGCCTTGATGCATTCCTTTCCCTATTTGGAACCAGTCTGCTATTCCAAGTTCAGTTCTAACTGTTGCTTCCTGACCTGCACACAGATTTCTCAAGAGGCCGGTCAGGTGGTCTGGTATTCCCATCTCTTTCAGAATTTTCCAGTTTGTTTTGATCCACACAGTCAAAGGCTTTGGCATAGTCAATAAAGCAGAAATAGATGTTTTTCTGGAACTCTCTTGCTTTTTTGATGATCCAAGGGATGCTGGCAATTTGATCTCTGGTTCCTCTGCCTTTTCTAAATCCAGCTTGAACATCTGGAATCTCACGGTTCATGTACTGTTGAAGCGTGGCTTGGAGAATTTTGAGCATTACTTTACTAGTGTGTGAGATGAGTGCAATCATGTGATAGTTTGAGCAGTATTTGGCATTGCCCTTCTTTGGGAATGGAATGAAAACTGACCTTTTCCAGTCCTGTGGCCACTGCTGAGTTTTCCAAATTTGCAGGCATATTGAATGCAGCACTGTCACAACATCATCTTTTAGGATTTGAAATAGCTCAGCTGGAATTCCATCACACCCACTAGCTTTGTTCACAGTGATGCTTTCTAAGGCACACTTGACTTCACATTTCAGGATGTCTGGCTCTAGGTGAGTAATCATACCATCATAATTATCTGGATCGTGAAGATCTTTTTCATATAGTTCTTCTGTGTATTCTTGCCACCTCTCTGTTAGGTCCATACCATCTGTCCTTTGTTGTGCTAATCTTTGCATGAAATGTTCCCTTGGTATCTCTATAATATTCTTGAAGAGATCTCTAGTCTTTTCCATTCTATTGTTTTCCTCTATTTCTTTGCACTGATCACTGAGGAAGGTTTTCTTATCTCTCCTTGCTATTCTTTGGAACTCTGCATTCAAATGGGTATCTCTCTCCTTTTCTCCTTTGCTTTTCACTTATCTTCTTTGCACAGCTTTCTGTAAAGCTTCCTCAGAGCCATTTTGCTTTTTACATTTCTTTTTCTTGGGGATGGTCTTGATTCCTGTCTCCTGTACAATGTCACAAACCTCCATTCATAGTTCTTCAGGCACTCTGTATATCAGATCTAATCCCTTGAATCTATTTGTCACTTTCACTGTATAATTGTAAGGGATTTAATTTAGGTCATACCTGAATGGTCTAGTGGTTCTCCCTACCTTCTTCAATTTAAGCCTGAATTTGGCAATAAGGAGTTCATGATCTGAGCCACAGTTAGCTCCTGGTCTTGTTTTTGCTGACTATATAGAGCTTCTCCATCTTTGGCTGCAGAGAATACAATCAATCTGATTTCGGTATTGACCATATGGTGATGTCCATGAGCAGAGTCTTCTCTTGTGTTGTTGGAAGAGGGTGTTTGCTGTGACCAGTGCGTTCTCTTGGCAAAACTCTGTTAGCCTTTGCCCTACTTCATTCTGTACTCCAAGGTCAAATTTGCCTGTTATTCCAGGTGTTTCCTGACTTCCTACTTTTGCATTCCAGTCCCCTATAATGACAAGGACATCTTTTTTGGGTGATAGTTCTAGAAGGTCCTGTAGGTCTTCACAGAACTGTTTAACTCAGCTTCTTCAGCATTACTGGTCAGAGGAAAGACTTGGATTACTGTGGTATTGAATGGTTTGCCTTGGAAACGAACAGAGATGATACTGTCATTTTTGAGATTGTATCAAAGTATTGCATTTCAGACTCTTTTGTTGACTATGATGGCTACTCCATTTCTTCTAAGGGATTCTTGTCCACAGTAGTAGATGTAATGGTCACCTGAGTTAAATTCATCCATTCCAGTCCATTTTAGTTCACTGATTCCTAAAATGTCGACATATACTCTTGCCATCTCCTGTTTGACCACTTCCAATTTGCTTTGATTCATGGACCTAACATTCCAGGATCCTATGCAGTACTGCTCTTTACAGCATCGGACTTTGCTTCTATCACCAATTACATCCACAAGTGGGTGTTGTTTTTGCTTTAGTGTGGCGCTGGAATGGCTGTGAGGAGGTACCCCACGTCCAAGGTCAGAGAAGCCCCAGCAAGACTGTAGGTGCTGGAGTGGCAGCTGCATGGTGCTGCAGAGGCTGTGAGGAGATATCCCACGTCCAAGGCAAACAAGCCCCAGCAAGATGGTAGGAGGGGCGAATTTGCATTTAGAGTCAAACCCCATTCCCGCCGGAGATGCTTAGAGGGCTCAAACAAACTGTGTGCACATCGGGACCCAGAGACCCCACAGAGACTGAGACAGAACTATTTGAGTATATCCTGTGGAGGTACGGGTCTGCAGTGGACTGCTGCAGGGGGAGGGGCTCTGGGTGCAGCATACTTGGGTATGGCATAAGCCCTCTTGGAGGAGGTCGCCATTAACCCTACCATAGAGCTGCCAGAACTTACAGGATTGGAAACAGACTCTTGGAGGGCACAAACAGAACCTTGTGTGCACTAGGACCCAGGAGAAAGGAGCAGTGACCCCACAGGAGACAGACCCAGACTTGCCTGGGAGTTTCCAGGAGTCTCCAGCAGAGGCATGGGTCATGGTGGCCTGCTGCAGGGTTGGGGGCACTGAATGTAGCAGTACATGCATGGGATCTTTTGAAGGAGGTAACCATTATCTTCATTACTTCCACCACATTTTTTTTTTTTAATGTAGCTCAGTCGTGTCTGACTCTTTGCAACCCCGTGAACTGTAGCCTACCAGGCTCCTCCCTCCATGGGATTCTCCAGGCAAGAATACTGGAATGGGTTGCCATTTCCTTCTCCAGGGGATCTTCTCAACCCAGGGATTGAACCTGGGTCTCCCGCATTGCAGGCAGACGCTTTAACCTCTGAGCCACCAGGGAAGCCCAGTTTGGATACACTGGAGAAATGGCAGCCCACTCCAGTGTTCTTGCCTAGAGAAGCCCAGGGATGGCGGAGCCTGGTGGGCTGCCGTCTATGGGGTCGCACAGAGTCAGAGGACTGAATCGACTTAGCAGTAGCAACAAATATCAGGGAGGGAACACAGCTCCACCCATCAACAGAAAATTGGATTAAAGATTTACTGAGCATGGCCCCGCCCATCAGAACAAGACCCAGTTTCCCCCTCAATCAGGCTCTCCCATCAGGAAGCTTCCATAAGCCTCTTATCCTGCCTTCAGAGGGCAGACAGAGTGAAAATCAGAATCACAGAAAACTAACCAATCTGATCACACAGACCACAGACTTGTCTAACTCAATGAAACTATGAGCCATGCCGTATGGGGCCACCCAAGACAATGGGTCATTGTGGAGAGTTCTGACAAAATGTGGTCCACTGGAGAAGGGAATGGCAAACCACTTCAGTACTCTTGCCTTGAGAACCCCATGAACAGTATGAAAATGGGCTACAGTCCACACGGTTGCAAAGAGTCGGACAGGACTGAGCATACATACAGGCACTCACCTAAAATCAAGAATTCCCTTAAACCCAAATAGGTGTTTTCCATTCTAACCATATTCAAATATTTTCTGAATGGGATCATCTACCATAAAGAATGATAGGGTTTATCTTTATTTTTGGTTGTTTTGTAATTTCTGCATCTGATACTTAGAAGTACAAAATGGTGTAATGGGTTGAATTGTGTCTCTCTAAAATAAATGCTGAAATCTTAATCCTAACACTGTGAATTTGATCTTATTTGGAAATAGGTCTTTGCGCATGTTAAGATGAGGCCATTAGGATGGGCCCTAATCCAACATGACTGGTGTCCTTATAAGAAGAGAGACATTTGAACATAGATAGACATAGAAGGATAGTAGCCATGTGAAGTAGAGGCAGAGACTGAGTTATGTTACTATAAGCCAAATACTGCCTGGGGCCACCAGAAGTTGGAAAACACAAGAAAGGATCGTCTCCTATAGGCCTTGGAAGGAGCATGGCACTGCCAACATTTTGATTTTGGACTTCCAGCTTCCAGAACTATGAAAGAATAAATTTGTCATTTTAAGCCACCAAGTTTGTAGTACTTTGTTACAGTAGTCCTAGAAACTAATACAGACAGGGAAGGCATAACTTTTCTAATTCCATTAGACAGTATTAGCATTATATTTAAACAGTCATTTAAAACTAAGCTATTCCTAAGTGCACATTACTTCAACAAGAAAAAAAATCTCTACTTTTGGCTTTTCTTACATGATGGAATTAAAAGTCAAATACTCATTGTCAATTCATATTTCAAGTGGATTAATTTGGTTTTCGAAAAAGTAATGATTGATAAAATGTTTAATAGTTTAGCAGTCCCCATAAGAGGTGCAGAGCACTGTGCCCTTCATTTACTCCTTCAATCAATGACTCAAATGAAGAACATGCTTACTTGTTATTAGTTGGTCCTGTTGCCAAGACATCGGACTGTAACTTTGGAAAAAATCCTTGTTCATATTTGCCTTGACCAATTTTCATATCAAGTAGATGTGGGTGGATTGCAGTGTGATCCATTTTCATCAGTCGCTGCTCAATTGACTGGGCTATAAATTAAATTTATAGTATGTTAGAAACATTTCATTGGCTAAACCTTAAAAGATAATGCTTCCTCTACTCATGCAGTGACAAGAAACTCAATCTTTGTGATAGTCTGAAATTGATTTTTACAAAAGCTTTTCAGAAATCAGTATAATGTAAGTATAAAAAGGTTAGTTTTACGTAAATACTAGAAGATGAATTCTCATACTATTTTCTGCATTTGGCAAAAGCAGGGCAGTGGAGTTAAAAAACAATCTATAATTTAGTACTGAAACAGTTTCCCATGAGTGGGAAATTCATATTCTTAATGAAAATATGGTTCTAAGTACAATATTAAAGAAAATGATGGCAAATAAAATATCTTCCTTGAGCTGAAAGACAAAATTAGGGAAGGTAAAAGCAAGCACTGTAGCCCTATGTTACTTTATTTCTTTTTGCAAAGATCCACTATTCATGCTTTTCCACTTGTAAAAAACAAGGAACTGTGTAAAGTTTATTACCTTCACTTTTAGCAACAGTCACATTCTCATTAGGAGTTATTTAAAAGTGTTCATTAGATCAAAATGGGTAATGCAGAGAAAAATAAAATGAGCAGGCATTTAGAAAATGTCCAGAGAATAAAAAACTGCCATTTCAAGAATACATAGGCCAGAGTTAAAAAATAGACATTACTCAATATTTTTATTTTAAAACCACTGAAAGTTGGGAGATACTTCAAAGGCTCAGGAAAGAAACAGTGAACTATTTCTCTGGTTTAAAAAAAATCTGATCTTAAATGTCTTTATCAGTTGAATTTATAAGAGAAAACATAATACTCGTAAACCAAGGTTAGGTCCTCCATCACTTGCCTAGAGATTACTGCAGGGGAGGGCAAGCAGTACCTGTGTCTGTGTGATAAACAGACACATCGTGGGCACTGCTAATCTTGGGATCTGAGAGAAATAAAAAGGTATTTTCTTATACATATTTCATAGAATCAGTTTACTCTGCACATTCAGTACCAGCAGATTGAGTACTGCTGGTTCTTCTCCATATATATTCTAAAGAAAATCTTTTGGGGTGGGAAGAGGTCTGTGAATGACACATTTCACTCTTGTCAAAAGAACCTACTTAAGATCATCTTATGTGAGATCGACGCCTCCCAGCCAGTGTTTGTGTTTGCAGTATTAAGAGATGTGTACAGAAGGTATTATTACACTAAACTTCGAAGTGTGAGACATCTACTTTAAGCTTTCCTAATTTTTCTTTATAACTCACATGACTTTATCCAAAACTTTAAAAAATTTCATTTTAATGTGTAACTTTTAACTTCTCTCAAAATATAGTCCATATATTCTAGACTGGGCCAAAGGGTGTCATGCTTTAATGTGTATGTGAAGTTGCTCAGTCGTGTCCGACTCTGCGACCCCATGGACTGTAGCCTACCAGGCTCCTTTGTCCATGGGCTTTTCCAAGCAAGAGTACTGGAGTGGGTTGCCATATCCTTCTCCAGAGGATCTTCCCCACCCAGGGATAGAACCTAGGTCTCCTGCACTGCACACAGACGCTTTACCGTCTAAGCCACCAGGGAAGTCACTTGCTTTAGTGTGGTGATATTTAATTTTCAGTGATGCCCTCTGACTTTCCACAACAATATATATATTCTTAATGGTTCCCAATATCTATAAAACACAATTGGGTTTAGGCAAATAATGCTTAGATTCATGGTGTGGAATTCCCTGAAGTCCCTGCCAATTTTATATTCCATGAACTACTACAAAATTCCACCTCTGCCAAGAAGTGCTTCTACTCTCACAAAAGGAAAAAAAGAAAAGTAGCATCAGTTTTTCTGCTGGATTTAAAATGATAGAAAAACCCATCTGATATTGAGTTATTCTCCTTTAGTTAGGAAGCTCTGTAGAAACAAAAATCACGATTCACAATTAATTATCTGGGTTTATAAGATTGCCTCAGGGAGCATAATGCTATGTTACATTTCAGTGATTATACCATCAGTGAATACTGAACATTCAGAAATTATTAAATGCCTGCTTCAAGAGGTCATAGGCCTGTTGTTAGACTTTCAAGGGTATGTGCCAAAACTCATTTTCTGTGATGGGTAAGGAATAGAAAAATGCATTACTAGCAACTTGTTGTCTTTCTGCAAAGTAATCATGAGGTTCTGGTGCCACAATATCAGCAGCAGATAGCCTCTGCCTAAAGCATTCACCTGCAAATCAAAATTCTTTTTAGTTAGAGGCAAAACAGAAACAAAAGCAAAACAACAAAGGACCAAAAAAAAGATACACAATAAAATTCAATGTCAACAACAAAAATCCCAATCTCCACAGCTTCTGTTGGGGCTGGGATGGGGGTGAGGGTGAGGTAAGTCTTTTAAAAGACAAAAATCTATTATCTTTTACCTGATAAAAGAAATAACTGTATTCATGAGAGAAAAGATATAGTCACAGTCAACTGCCTCCCTTTAAAGAAAGTCTTTGATAAATTAAGTTCCTGGGAGACTATTCCTAAACTTAGTTTAATATCTTTCATATATGGTAAATCTATAATGGTACATTTTTAAGAGTATTATATAATTTTTGTGATGACAGTATGAGTACCAAACTCTGAGAGGTGAACAATCTATTTTAATTGAAAACATTTTCTAGAAGCACACAAATAAAGCAATCAGTACTTACCTTCATTTTAAAAATTCTGTCAGGAAGGGAGGAATAAAATTTGTTCAACAAGGCATTATACTATTTACATGGCTACTAAAGCACTGAAAGCCATACTACTCTCTGAACAAGCATAGACAATTTTGATCACTTTGCTCCCCCAACTTTCAGAAACAGAGGCAACTGTCACTTCCTAAAGGGCTCCAAGGATATACCCTCCTAAGTGGGATATAACAGAATGATGTTTCCTCAAGTTATCAGAAACCTCTGAAGGCTACACAAGAGACATCATTTATATACTTCTTTCCTTAAACATGCAACTGTTACAGCATCACCACACTCCTGTAACTCTGAAAAGTGAAAGTGAAGTCGCTCAGACTCTTTGCGACCCCGTGGACTGTAGCCTACCAGGCTCCTCCGACCATGGGATTCTCTAGGCAAGAATACTGGAGTGCATTACCATTTCCTTCTCCAGGAGATCTTCCCAACCCAGGGATCGAACCCGGGTCTCCTGCATTGGAGGCAGATGCTTTAACCTCTGAGCAACTCTGCTCTACCTCAAATGAAGTGAGAAAGGCAAGCAACAGAGGCAGAGCAAAGAAAATCCACAGCTGCTGCTTTTTGCTCAAAAAAAAAAAGAAAAAGAAAAAAAAGTAGGTTGCTCTCAAACAGCTTCTACACTTGAAGGGGAAGAAATAAAAGGAAGGGGCACTCAAGTGGTAAAAGTCAGTTTATTGGCTGAGAAATAAACTAAGAAAGAGTTAGGAACCGGGTATGAAAGTATAAAACTATGTGGACTGGTACATTTTACGTTTATTTATTGAATGAACAGCTTAATGTTTTAAGACTCCAGGTGCTAGAATCAGTCAAACTCTGGTTCAAATGAGGGTTCCACCAACCACTAGCTATGCAATCACAAGCAAGTGACTTTACCTTTAAGTTTTCTCAACTGTAAGATGAAGGTAGCAGTAAAACAGACAATAAAATGTGTCTACACCTCCTCATTATGATCAAATGCAAAAATGCACATAAAACAGCAAGAGTATGCACTCAGTAAACACTATTAATATGATTATTTATTTAACTGACTATAGTATTACACTGCCAGACAAGATTGGCCAAGACTCATAATTCTCTGAGAGAAAAACTAACATCAGGGTTGGGAATCTCTCATTTGAATACGAGAATCTAGAGGTTTAATTTCAATAGATGAAGCTATTTCAATTAATGGTACCACTAAAGTAAATAGTTTTAATTATGTAAATTAGGTAGCAACTCAAATTTACTATGTTAAATTAATACTATTTTCCTTGGATGAAGAGAGAAAAAGTAAAAAGCAAAAAAAGCAAAAAAAAAAAAAGCAAAATAAGCAGCAAGACAAAAATTAATATTTTTTCATTAAGGTAATAAAGAGAATAAGACAGAAATTACAGCAACCTAATAGTTTTATTCCATTCAGTTTGTTACCGTTTTCGTCTTGTGAGGGAAGAGGAATGCCAAGTGGGAACAGGACAGACATTAGCTCACAAAACAGAATGAAACAAAACTACAGAAAGCATCTCTTGATATAGCACAAGGATTAACCAGGAAGTCTAAAACTGAAAAATAATTTTGTGGTTTATAAGGTCAACAATGTGTAAAAAGAAATGATCATGGATTTTAAGTTAGTTTTTAAAGGCATGCTAAATGTACCTGCTTCTTTTAAAGTGCTGCATTTCTGATAAATAGATGTCCTCAAGGTGGGTGCCCTTACATTATACAGTCTTATCTTCTCAATCCGAGAGTCAAAGACTCGAAGCAAAGGATCTTTCTCCTCCCATTGAGACATAATTTTGTTATCAATAAAGGTGGCAAACATCTGTGTTTCAATGAAGCGTGAAAGAAATGGCAGGTACGGCTCTGGCTGATCAGACAGGAAGGAAGCCTGTAATGAGAGAATCAGGCAATTAGTGCAAAGAGATCATCTCAATACTACATGATAAACCCCAAAATTATCTGTTGCTAAGGTCATTCCTTTTCAATCTTATAACACGCAAAACTAATGTATGAAATTCAAAAATCCTTAAAACACCACTTTTTCCCTCCTATCTTCTAAATTCATGGAATTTAGGTCACTTAAGTCATTAACGCTGCTTCTACCTTTCAAAACTGATTAACGTTCTGGTCCTCATGACCATCACGCAGAAAAGAGAGCATTGTTAATGAAAGATGGTGGATCAGTCACTACATGAACGTCAATTATTCTCTTCACTTGCCATTAAATTTGACACCTTTTCCCCAGTGAGCTGTAATTTTTTCCACTCTCTATTCCTAGACTATGCCAAATACCTCCAAGTCATAAGGCAGCCAGGTGATTAATGGATACAGTAATAGCATTAATATATACATAAGAAATACTCTTAAAAAAAAAACCCAACAATATGGAATTTGTGCTTATAAGTAAAATCATCTGTTCTTCAAGTAGATGTTTTCCTAGGTGCCCACAGTTAGAAACTGATGGATGAGTACTAATTCAAGATCAAACTCTATCCAGACCTGTGCTGACAGAATAGTCTGGGCCTTAACCACTAAAAAAAGCACCGCCTGGAAAACCATCCAAAGCAAGCCAAGCCTGTGGAAAACATGTACAATCAGCCACATGTGCCTGTTACCAGCTTGTCTGCTTGCATGGAATGGCTCAGGAAATAGTAATCAGCTTCTAATTCAAAGGGTTCATTTCTTTCCTTTGACTCTTCAGGTCCATGCATGTAGAGGAATTCTAGTCACAACTTGGCACCAGCTAAAATTTGGAAGTGGACTACTATTTCAGCTACTGGGATGCCTCTGCTTTTCATTCTTTTGATTGGGTGCAATGTGGCAAAAGCCAGAAGGGGAAAGGTGGAAGTATATGTTCTGACCTATGATTACTCTCCTTAATATTCATAGCTTCCTCCCAGCATATTTATTTAGGAAACAAATTCTGATATTTAGGATGTCTTTGACAAACTTCCTTACAGAAATCCATTTATTCAATTTAAGTGCCTTCGTAGCTTAGATGTAGTCACACAAATCCAAATAGCCAAAGAATGGTTCATAGCAGTATCCAGAAGTCAGCTTACCTCTTAAAAAGTTATTTTAGAGATAAATATCAACTTTACTTTTCATAGAACAAACAGCCTTTTTTCCTAAATGGACCAAATATCTGGCTTTTTGATATTCAGATCCTTGTGGGCTATATGACTTTAAGTCAGCAAAGACTTGGCTTGCAGGACTAGTATGTGATAGTTCTGTAAATTTTCCTAGTGAAAATGAGATGATTACAAGCTTTCTGGAATCCAACATGAAACTTTCATTTCTCTAGGGGTTATATAAAAAGAATTCCATTTATAGTTTGAAGCTACATAAAGATTAAGAGGAAGAATGTACCAGTGCTTGATTTAGAAAAGAATTTGAATTGCTACAAAGATAAATCATGAGTATACACAGATTAGTTCCAAGCTGGCCAGGAAAAAATGTGGAGAAATGGTTAAGCTTAATGAGAAAGGAACCTAACAGCAGGAATACATTTGGGTAGGTGAAGGTCTCTTAATTTATTAAAGAAGTTTTCTCTAACATAAAATGGATCAGAACCTAACTGTTAAATGTGGTTTATATAACTATCTAAAAAAATATCTGATGAAATCAGAAAAAAATCTTTTATACTACCCACCTTTACAGAAATTTTTGTTAATACTTATTTGGCAGATGCTCCAAGATTGTAGATTAGCCTCTTGGAACATATTAGCTTCTCTGAGAGGTCTTCCATGACACAAAGATACCATTTAGCAAAAAGCCATAATTTATTGTAATTGCACATCATGCCTCGGCAACCATAAAGGCAGGGGACTGAACTACACCCTAGTGACCTGAAAGAGTTAATGTACACCCCTAAGTGCTTTCATCCTGGGCAGGGAGGGTAGTGGTGGGGGGAAGAAATCTGGTGAATATGTCCAGAAAAACTGGCAGAAGAACATAGTAGACCTTAGAAAGAAGCTTCAACTTCAGCAGGACAATCAAAAGCTAGTTATCACTTTCTGTCTTCCTTTTCTGATACTTCGGAACACAGTCTAATAGTGATAAAACCTCATTTTTCTCATAAAACCTCATTTTTTCTCTTTTGATGCTGAGATAAAAATTTACCTTCTGAAAGTAAACTGTTTGTTACCTTTATTGGGCAAGTTGTGACTTCACTGTGGGATGAAGACAATGATCTAAGGATTTATTAGAAAGGAATAGGCTTCATTTAACTAGACTTGATCCTAAAATATGAGTAAATAAACTCTTACAAGGTGAGGTAGTATTAACAGATTTGAAAAATGAATGAAATTTAAGAGTTTCAATATCAAGTATCTTCAAAATATAGAAAATTTTAAAATGACGTTAGAGGCAATTTAATACATGAGTCAGTGAGCAGCTTAAATGAGCTAGTTCATTTACTTTCCTGTGAAATTATTTTATCTATTATAAAATAGTGGTTAAAAAAAGTTCTTAAGAGGAAGGGTGGGGAGAAAATCTGTATTTTAAAAAAAGTTAACAAAATAAACAACATATAGCCTATTAAGAACCACAAAAAGGGAAACTCTGGTTCTTTTTACTTTATCAAAGTTCTGCATCTGTTCCCGGTTGGTCAGCCAGGATTCCAGGTCCTGGGCAGTCTGAATCACAAACGCTTCATAATCTGCAAACATCTGTGTAAAGCGGTTGGCAAAGACCTCTCGGAGCTGGACATTGAGCTGGTAGTCCCTCAGTTCTGCCTCTTCACACTGAAGTTTTAAGTCTTTTTCTTTTTCACTCAGAGAGGCAGAGAGGTCCATTTTTTCCACAGTCACACCAGTCCGCTTGGCCAGAGCCTGGAGACGGGCTATGGTTTCGTTGCCCTTCAGTAACTCATACATGCTGATGCTATTTGCAGAGACGTTGCCATTCTTCTTGTCATTGACCAAGTCTTTCAGAACCAGATTCTTGAGCTTGGTGGCACTCTCACTGCAATGTAGACTGCCCTCAGGAGGGATCCCAAACTGAAGAAGAACTTCAGAGAGTTCCTGGATAAAATCTACTTTATTGGGGAACTGTGGAAATTCTTCAGGCAACTCAATAAAATGGTTGTCAATATCTACAAAACACAAGTTAGCCTGAAAGAGAAAAAAGAAATACAAAGGTTTTAAAGTAAAGCAAAATTATGTTCTAAAATATTCTTGCCAGCCATTATTAACAAAACCACAGGTTTCTACAGCCTTTTATGCTAACCTTCTCAGAGTTAAGAATTTTTTATTCTTTAAAAATAAATCTCTGTTGCCAGCATTTTCCCCTATGCAAAGGAATATTTTATCTCTAACATATATATAAATTATTTTCCCCAGTCTCATCAGTTTATTATAACTGATGAGCATATGACTCTGCAATATATGGCATCCAGTAAGTATTCCTTAAACAGGTAAAAATGCACAGATTCATAGTACCTTACAAATAGAAGGCACAGGGTAAAATAAAATGCTCACTGAGCTTGAACTTTCTATGCCATTCCACTGCTCTAACACCATTTATAATTTAGAATTAATAATTGCTAAAATTTAGCAGCTACAGTACCCCAAAATGGAAAGAAATTGGCAAAGAGCATTACAGTTCACAGAAAATCCACAAATTTTCACTTTATCAAAAATTAGCTTCAACCTCTTACACGGCAAGACCATTTCAGAAGCCAGGACAAAGAACAGGAGGCAGAGAGGGGTGGGGTTAGTGCCTAGAGAAAGGTAAGTGACCCTTGAGTAATTCAGACTTGACTTGAATATTTTTGAGTCAAGGAAAAGAAGAGGTTGAAATAAGAGAAAATGGCTTTTTTTTTTTAGTTTGCTTACACTCAAGATTTTGAATTAAAAGACTTTTAAATATCTTTCAAGTAGATAAATAAAATTCAAGGGGCAAAGTACCTGCATAAAATTCGGATTATCCCTCAGGGTACCTGATGACAATATATGCAAAAACAGCATTTTACCTTTATTGTTCATACCCTCTTAGTCAGAACAAGCCTGTCAGAGTAAAGGAAAACTGGGCTCCTAAATTGGGGGGGAGGAGGAGGGCAAGGTAGCCCATCACATAAAACTGATCCTGACTGCATTAGCATGCATAAGGTGAAGTCAGTAAACAGAATAGGAAGGCTCACCTTATACTTCCCTCTACCTGCCCCCCAAGGTCAACAAAGACAGAATTCACACTGTCCTTTGATCTTGAATGCTAATGTCCCTTGTAGCTAAGTCGGTAAAGAATCTGCCTGCAATGCAGGAGACCCAGGTTCAATCCCTGGGTTGGGAAGATCCTCTGGAGAAGGAAATGGCAACTCACTCCAGTATTCTTGCCTGGAGAATCCCATGGACAGAGGAGCCTGGCAGGCTACAGTCCATGAGGTTGCAAGTGTCGGACACGACTTAGCGACTAAACCACCACCACCAAGATGAAAAAAGGAGAGCAAACAATTGGGTTTCTGTTATTCTCTTTTGATCCCTGCTCTTCGTGTTAGATACTGATAAGCAAGAAGTACAGCAGAGTTCCAAATTAAGATCAATAAAAGCTCAAGATTTTCTACTATCCAAAACCAGAGAATTAACAGTGACTCTTTAAGCCTAAGATAACCTTTGAATCCAACCTTTTAATTCTGTAGAGAAGAAACTGAGGCCCAAGAATGCACATGATTTCCTGACACCTGTTCCAGATATGCATCTTCAAACAGCCTAGTAGCTTAAGGGATTCTTTTCTTTTCCATTATGCTTCATCTCCAATGTTAATAGTTTTCTCAAAATAAAGTAAGAGCTGAAGTCATATCTTACTGAAGACAGTAGTGCTACTTACAGCTTTATTTAAATTCACATCTTTATATGTTTCTATAGTCTCTAGAAAGTAGGATGTATTGTAAGGCTTAAAGGGAAAAACTAGGTCACCATAATTCAAGTGGATGATTCAATATCTTTAAAAATGGAAGAAAAAAATTCACTAACTTGCTAATCTAAATGTTAACCTGTAACCTCTTGCCAGTTAGATTTTGTACTGTCTCCCATCATTAACGCCTTCCTGCTATCCTCTTCTATCCCTCTCCTTCCTCCATAAAAAAAGAAAAATGATACATCTGGGGAAATTTTAAAGCTTGTCATGCTCACGTAATCACTACTGAGCCAAAAATGTACGGCAAGGTGGGTGTTCCTGCACCACAGTTATTGGCTTCTCTCCATATTACTGCGATTCTCTCTCACCCTCCTATGCAGGCTTGCAAGGGCCCAAATTGGGGCTTTATTACAAAGAAGAGATAGGGAGTGTAAACTTGTGTTATAAAAATTAACTGAAGACAAACCAAAAAGCCCTTTTTCTACAACAGAAAAGAACTGCATACAATACGGTATTCTTGTAAGTCAGTTTCTCATTTTTAATACCATTAAATTGAAAAAAATTTTAAAAACTCAAGAATGAAAAATATACTCAACATCTTAATCTAATGTTGTTTTAGGACTAAATACTTCTATAACTTTACTAATCAACCTGCCAGAAGCCTTCATGATATGTAATTACTACCAATTAAAAACAACAAACATTCCCTCAAAAGTAAGGGGACAAAGGATTGAAGCTTAATGATCTCTTTTCCCAGGAAGCCTGTCCCAATCCTAAAGGCATTTTGATTTCCTTTGTATACATTCTTTGATCTTTCATTCTTCTTACTTATTTTTTTTAGCCTCTGCTATTGATATTTGTAAATGTCTTATTCTGGAAAACAGAACAGCTCTTAAAGGTGACTTTTTTCCTATAGTTATCTCCCAGGATATCACACACTTGTAGCCTATGAGACAACTGTTTGCTCTTGTTTGAATGAACTCATTGCTTGAATGAATAAGGCTCAAGGAGATGGTCATTTTATGGAACCTTAAAAACGGAGGCGAGAGGACAAAGCATCCAGAAACGTGAGGCCTGGGCAGCTCTCTCCATGTTTGGTAAGAGTTCTGCTTTTTTAATGGCTGATGTTAAGATGGTATAAGTGTATGTCAGAGAGTATAATTTAACAGTTTCATAGAATTTTAGGGCAAGATATGCCAACAAGAAAGTAGCAAAAGCAAGATACTAACAAAAAGAAAATAGAAAAAGCAATGCTATTTCAGTTTTTCTCTTGCTTTTTGTCTACCATTCACTGTAAAGATGGTAGAAAGTGAGGTACCAGTCTATACAACTAATCCTCAGTCCTACATCCTTGCATCATCACTTTCCCATACCCTGCCAAAAACAACGTGAGGAACCTGTGCCTATCATTTTGGAATCATGGAGCTAGTGAGTGCGTAGTTAATTTTAAGCCTATGTAGTTACATTAGTTAGCTAACAACTAAAGTCATATCTTCTTAAAATAATCATTTTGTAAACTTATTTTCACAACTATTCTAAGAAACCTTTTCACTATTTTTAGCTATTATTTTATTTTGCAGTTTTTAGGGAAAGGGGAATATTACTAGCCACTTTAAAAAAATGATTATTTTTATAGTCACTTCCTCCTCCAAATTATGTGTATGGATTATTTCATCTCATTGTAAAACAGCAGAGCAAAATGATATGCCATTAGCCTTTTCTTCTAAGTCAGTAATGCACACATGTATAGTGCTTTCTATACAGAAGCACTACTATTTTCACAGCTGATTCAGGTTATTCCATATTATTCTACTCTATGAACAGATAAGTATGTATACTTATTAAAATATTGATTTAGTGAATTAAAAATCAGAAAATCACAGATATTACTATAAGAGCTTTCAGAGTATTTAAGTATGTTCCTTTTTAGAGTCAGAGGATACAAACAGACACACACACAGAAGATACACACAGACACATAGAAACAGAAAGATTTCCTAACAACAAATATATCAAGCTGACATTTAAAGTTCTCTAAAAGTAAATAAATAAATAAAAATTTCTCAACAATTATTACTCATGCGAAAATGGAAATGTAATATTTGTGTCTAAACAAATATAATTAACATGCAAATAGAACAGATTACTCAACAAAACTAAAACACATCACAGTTTAAATCTTTAAACCAAACTGGATTTGGCTAGTCTATTTCTTTTTCCTTGAAAATTTAAAGGACTTACTTCTTTGAACCACAAAACACTTTAATTAATTTAATATAAGAGAAAACGAGAGTTCAGTTATAAGAAAAAAGAGGTATCTGAGAAAGAAGCGAGAACATGCACAAGCTCAAAAGGAGAAAGACAGTTTGCATGTATATACTAAGTGACCTGAATTGGCTACTTTCCCCTGAACAAAAATGTTTATTTTGGTAAGAAAACATTCATTATGATAAAGCAAGCAATGGATGATTACAGGAATCATTTCTAGGTATAGCAGCTGTGGCTTAGAGTGTTATTTTAAATTCACTTATTAAAATGAGAATCTCTATGGGAAATAAGAGCAACTAAGAGTGAAGCACAGCATGAAAAATTCTACTGAGAAAGGTGCTAATTAAATTGCTAATAATATAATGTAATTAACCATTTTATGTTTTTTAATAGTCCATGGCTCTCTCATCAATATTTTAATTCAAAGGCTTTACATTTCAATTCTGAGTACTACTAACAACAGCTAAAAATTAGATTCAAAGTGCTTTCAAAAATTCCTGTTTATTTTCTTTTGAAACAACATTGGAAAATATAACACACAGAAAGTATAGTAATCTTAAGGTGGCCTAAAAGCTAAGGGTTAGAATTTTTATCTCACCCAGCTAGCTAAGCTGACACTCAGAAAAAGTTGATAACTGGTCTTATGTTTGAAAACACAGACTAAGTATTTAATATTTCCATGATCCTTAGTTTGCAGAAAGATGTTACTTTTCATTTGACAGAGGTCAAGAATCAAATTCACTTCAATTAATACAATAATTCTGAAGGATGTTAAAACTGGGCTGTACCACTTAAAAACAAAATTTAAAACATGAATAAAAAAATAAAATGTTATTAGAATAATAAAGCAACGAGATAATACTACTGTCACTCCATCTTCACAAATTTACAGCTGTGAAAATTTGCCACTGTTCTGTTTTGAACCATGTCTAATTATTGACTATGTCATATAATAACCATCAGAAGTCAGGATCTGAATTCTATGGCCGAATGTCTGCCCTAGACCTACTTGGAAGATTCAGAATAGCCAGAGACTCAGTTTGGACAAAGGCAATGCTACCTAACAAAAGTGGCCCTGACCTAAATTAACAAAGAGCACAGGCTACATCATTCATTTTAAGTTTTACCTCTTGAGGAAGTTCTAGCTTAGAACGGTCAGTTCCTTCTTTTGACTGAAGGCCCATCAGATAAGGGACAGGAGCATCAAGAAAATGCAGCAGAGAAGCAGGGAGGATGGGTACATACACATGCTGCCACTGAAATGGGAACAGAAGTGTGGTGATGCCTTCAGCCACAGTCATCAGGCGTTGGTAATCTGCACAGAACAACAACAACAGAAACAGAGGGGAAGATTCCAAGTCAAAACATAATCACTGCATTAAGCTTAAAAACATCAATTTCCAGAAAAATTCTTGTGCTAAAATCCTAAAGTGCTAAAATTCTTGTGCTAAATTTTTGAGCTAAAATGCTTCTTCATGACCACACAGAAAAGAAGTCAGTTCTATCCCATCATAATTAAAGAGCTGAAAGGTTTCACTTGACTGATTTTCAGGGGGTATGAGTAGGTGGGAAACATCATCAAACTTTTTGTTTATGAAAACACTGGTATGTGAACTGACATTCCTTTAAAATGCAAAGCAAACAAGAACTAATAAAACTGCTCTTGGCATTTCTCCCATTGAAAATGTGTAAGAATGCTGCTATTGATCCCTTTTTATATACACATATTATCTAAGCAATCCTCAATTCAGAGGCTCTTTTTTTCTTGTATAAATGATCATGGCTATAGCTTATAGTTGTCCTGATTATATTTATTTTAGCCTTCATTTCGGGGATACAAGATATTCATAGTCACACTTCCTATGTTAACCTCCAACTGAAATCCAGAACAAAATGGAAAGTTACTGGAAAATTAAAGGTTGCTTTTCTTATTGTTTTGTTTACATGAGCTAATTTATCAAAACTAAAAACTGTCCACAATATTAAAGTGGCCTCTTTCCTCATCACAGTTTTACTGAAATATAATTAACATATAATATTATATTAGTGTTAGGTATATAACATGATAATTTGATATATGTACAAACAGGAAAATATATTACCACAGTAAGTTTAGCTAATATTCATTAACTCACATAGTTACAAATGAAGTGCCCTCTAAAACCACTATGCCATGGATGCTATACATACATATATCTATTGTTGTTTGTTGTTTAGTTGCTAAGTCTTGTCAGATTCTTATACAGCCCCATGGACTGTAGCCCATCAGGCTGCTCTATCTATGGGATTTCCCAGGCAAGAGTACTGGAGTGGGTTGCCATTTCCTTCTCCAGGGGATCTTCACAACCCAGGGATAGAACCTGCATTTCCAGCAATTGGCAGGAGCCACCAGTGGTACAGACATATGTCTATAATCCCTATTTAAGCCTTTGGAGGCAGACATATTTCATAACTTAATTTAGAAAGGTAATATTGTGCATTCAACACATACGTGAACTACCTAGGGCGGCACCCTATAATCAGTTAATGTTTCTGCAGCAAACTATATGAGTGTCCCAGTATACCCAAAGAATCGAAATAGGGTCATGCTGGTTCAGATCTAATTTTACTAATAAATGAGTTACCAAAAAGTGTTTGGTCTTCAGAATGGATATTGTAGAATTGTAATAATTCTCTCACAGAATTCACTGTGCACAAATACAGTAAAATCTGAGGGAGTAGGCTTTGGGGGAGACTTCTTTAAAAAGGGAAATGAGCTGATGCTACTTGGTTCATATCAAACTCAAAGAACACCCAACCACACACAAGCAAGGTGCTTTCCATTAAAATTTTTCTTGTGTTGTTTTATAATCTATAAATGACTACTTTTAATAGTCTACAACAGGATTTTGGTCACGAATTATCATCTACCCACAGCCTACATGTATTTAAATTTTCCTTATCTGATTCATTATTAAGTGTTAGGTGAAAACCTGCTTAGAGGAGCACTTCTAAAAACATACACCAGGCAGCTTGAAGGAAGAGGGTGTTTCGTATTTCGTGGGTTGCACAGTGACCTTGCTCGTAGTGGATGGTCCCATGGGACTGCTTATGCTCAACGAAACAGCATGGTTCAGCTGTGAGCATCCCATCAGTCTGTGGTGACAGGGAGGCTGAGCTGTGACAGCTACATCAGTTCCTGGGTTTCAGGGTTTTTTTAAAATTTGTTTCTCAATTATAAGTGAGACACAGGTGAAATGTTCCGGGTTTTAAGCAGTCAGATTGTGTGCCAGTTATCTACGGATCTATTTACTGAGCTCCAAATTCACTCCGCAGGTGGTCTATGAAAATGGACTAGCCAGTTAGCATGTTCTCTTTTATGGTGAGCACACCGTGAAGCTTTGCCAGTAGAGATAACTGGAGAGACACTGCAGGAGGAAGGGCTTCTCTTAATGGTTTTGGAGTACAGTGGATAAAGTGCATGCAGTGTTTTGTCTGCTCCTGTTCCTACTGCATGGCTGATCAGTGGTGTGGATTTGTGAGGATATCTGATGGTCCACTTTCCTGGCCACACACCTCGAGTGGGCAGTCTCAGTGACTAGGTTCTCCTAGTAAGGATAGGGCATACTCATATCTCACAGACACTGCTCACTTGGACCTGGGAGGTTTGTTTTCTGCTTGTCTGACTGAGGATCAGTTCCACGCTCAGGCAACCACTGGCCTCCACCATCCAATGAGCTGAAACCACACCTTCTTCAATGAGATATGAACCTTAGCCTTGGGAAGTAGGCCTCCTTCCAAGTTGGTCCTTCCTAGGGTACCCTTTAGAGTGTTCTTCATGTCTTTATAGTTACTTTCCTATTATAGCTTAATAATTCTTCATACCACATTCCTCTGTTTAAATTACTGTGTGGTTTAACCTGTCTCCTGATTGGACCTATGCTGAAAGGCAGAGGGTTTTAAGCACTCAAATCAAATCCCTAGCAGCTTGGCTACTTTATTTACTGTTAATGGGAAAATGTTTAATCTCAAAGGAAAAATAAATTCTTTAAGGAATGGCAACCAGCCATCTTAGGCTATTTTCTTGCTTTAATTATGGAAAACTTTCACACGGGGAAGTGAAAACAAATTATATGTTTTCCACCTTTCCAGCAGACATGAAAGACTGATATACGTAGTTTATTTTCCCTTTGCCACAATTCTACCCACTTGTTATGGGTGTTCCATGTCTATTCTTCTTTCTAGTTCTGCTTTCTCAAGGACAGTATAAATGCCACACGCTTTTTAATAATACAGTTACTTAGCAGAAACAAGGCAATTCTTTTTAACTGAATCAAGAAATAAAGGGTAGTTTTTGCCTTTAAGCATTTAAAAAAAATTAAATAACAGGAAAATTATTTTTTCTTTGATACTAAATGTGATGAATGTGTATTAAGTTTCCATATTTAAGACAGTGTCTCAGCTTCATAATTTGGTCCTTTCTTGCCTCATTTCTTACCACCACATATGTAGCCAAATCATATGCTATCAATTCAGTTCTGAACATGACAGGTCCCTGTGCCTCTGTAACCCTTTCCCTCTGCCCAGGATGTCTCTTTCCCTTGCAGTACCTGGCTAAGTTCCACTTTTTCTTTAGGCAGTGGTTCCTTTGGAAAGCATTCCCTACTTTTTATTGGCACTAGAGTCCTTTCCACATGCTTCCACAGTATCCCACCTCTACTTTCATCACAGTAATTATTCCTCCCAGTAAAACTATTAAAATTCTATTATAATTATCTATTTATGTGTCTCTCCTCTCTTCCCTGCTAACCATCATTTGCTAGAGCATCAATGACTATATTTTTAATCTCAGAGTTTCCAGCACTTGGTACGTGGCCTACTATATAGTGAATGGTCAATAAATGTACACTGAGAAATTATGTGAACATCTAAGGCATGTAAAATCAAATAAAACTACCGGACATGATGCTTGACCATGTTTTACAACAAAACACACTGTCAAAAATTTGCCTTAAAAAAAAAAAAAATTGCCTAGCAGCGGCAAAGGCACAGACCCTGAGATGGCCTGGGCTCTGCTATCTCATCCCTGGGACTTGGCCCCTGTCCGCCAGCATCACTGTGGAGAATAAAGTCAGCCCTTTGGGGACAGTCAAGCAGCCTGAGGCTGGAACTGAGATTGGGAGCACAGGATTCAGGTTACAGCTTCAGGAGATGGCTGAGTGACACAGGGCAGGTCTAGTGCTGGCTGGTGGTGCAACAGCCCATGGAAAGGCCACACTTACCGGGTTTTACATATTACGAAGCACTGCCAATGGAGGTGTGAAGATGGTGGTGTCCAGCATACCTTTGGTAAACATCCTGATGAAAGCTGGAAGATTACACATGTACTAACCGAGGGCAGTGACTGGTTACTGACTGAGCCAGACTGGCTTTGAGGCCTTTGACATGACTAGTTCACAATCTTTATCTCAAAAGGCAGAATACAAATTCAAATGAGCATTTAAAAAATTACCCTCAATGATGGCTGAAGAGTGAGCTATATTTTGCTTATCAGATTGACAAAGATTAAAAAAGAAAATCACAGCAAAAATGTGGAGGAAAGAGTATTCTCACACATCGTCTTATAAAGGAGGCATAAATTGCTAGACCTCTGTACTCGGCAATATTTTTCAAAAGCTTAAAAATAAACAGATCATCTGACCCAGCAATTCTAGTTAATTTATCACATAAGTAAACAAAAACATATGTACATATGTTATAAAGTGTATAAAGTGTATAAAGTGTATAAAGTGTATAAAGTGTTATTTGTAACAGTAAACTATTTGCAATATCCTAAGTAACTAACAAAAGGGTTAGATTTATGGCCACTTATATAATGAAATATACTAAAGCTATTAAGAGTATATCTATAGTATTACCATGGAAAACCAAAATGTGTTTGGCAACAGCAGGAAGCAGCTAGGTACTAAAAACTAGCTGAAATTCCCCTTTGGGAATTTGGGTACTTTGGGTACATATACCCAAAGAACTGAAGGCAGAGTGCTGAAGATATAGTCAAATGTCTATGTTTATAGTACCATTATTCACAGCCAAGGTGGAAACAAATGGGTGAATGGATAAACAAAATGTGGTATATACATATAATGGAATGCTTTTTTTCTTTTAAAAAAATTTTATACAATGGAATGTTATTCAGCCTTAAGAATACAATGTGGATGTACATCCACAATGCTACAATGTGGATGAACCTTAAGGATATTATGCTAAGTGAAATAAGCGAGTCACAGAAAGACAAATACTGCAAAATTCCACTTGGATGAGGTACTTAAAGTAGTC